TTCAAGAGCACTTGAAATAGCATGCATGGGTCTAATATCTTCTTGGTAAGATTTTAAATACCTATTATTTTACTAGGGTTGTGAGCAATAGCTCTTGTAGCGAGGCTCAGTACACTTAACCATTGCAGGATGTCAAAGCAAATCTCTTTGTTCCCACTCACGACTCTCTCCGTGTGACTGAAATGCACCACTAGAATAAAATGATTAAAGCATCTTTGCATAAAGAGGAGAGGCAGATGCAAATGCATATGTTGACGAAGAAGCTATAACAGATGTCCCTCTGCTTTAAGCTAGCTGGAATGCAAATCACCTGAATTTTCATGATGTCTCATTGACTAATTACTTCTAAATGCTTTTCCAAGTCTCGTCTTCATGCAGAAGAAACCCCTTTCTTTTCCTCCAGCTTATGAAGCTGGCCTGTAATGATAGGCTCAACACATTTTTTTCCCTATTCTGAAGTCCTCTGTACTAATAGCATGCTGCAAACCAGGGTGCAGACAGGAAAAATGCACTTGGGGCAAGAGCCTACAGAGGCTCAAGCCAGGGATGTAATGATGGGATGCAAGATGTGAGCTTCTGTGACTGAGCAGGCAGAGTGGGGCCCGTTTTTTGTCATGCCTGAGAATGGGGAGAAGGCTGGCCAGGTAGTGGAAAGGCAAGTAACATCAGTCGAAGCCCAGACTCTGTGAGTTTGTTCCTTGCAATTTCCTTCTGCAGCGACCATGTGGAAGAAGTATGGAGAGAAATGCACAGAGGAAAGAAGGAGGGATACAGAAACAATATTCTATGTAAGAAACGCAAAATAAGAAAACTGTTTGAGAAAACTGTCATGGTTTAACCCTGGCAGGCAAGTAAGCCCCACACGGCTGCTCGCTCACGGCCTGGTGGCATGGGATGGGGGAGAGAACTGGAAGGGTAAAAGTGAGAGACAACTCGTGGGTTGAGATAAAGACAGTTTAATAGGGAAAGCAAAAGCCATTCACATGCAAGCTGAGCAAACCAAGGGATTCATTCACTGCCTCCCATGGGCAGGCGGGTGCTCAGCCATCCCCAGGACAGCAGGGCTTCATCACGCCTAACAGTGACTTGGGCAGAAAAACGCCATCACTCCCACTGTCCCCACCTTCCTTCTTCTTCCCCCAGCTTTATACGCTGAGCATGACGTCATATGGTGTGGGATACCCCTGTGGTCAGTTGGGGTCAGCTGTCCTGGCTGTGCCCCCTCCCAAACTCTTGTGCACCCCCAGCCCCCTCACTGGTGGGGTGGGGTGAGGAGCAGCAAAGGCCTTGACTTTGGGTAAGGACTGG